CCAGTGCGTCCTGAACACGCCTCACAGAGGCCGGCACTGCGTTCCCAGTGCGTCCTGAACACGCCTCACAGAGGCCGGCACTGCGTTCCCAGTGCGTCCTGAACACGCCTCACAGAGGCCGGCACTGCGTTCCCAGTGCGTCCTGAACACGCCTCACAGAGGCCGGCAAAGCGTTCACAGTGCGTCCTGAACACGCCTCACAGAGACCGGCAGTGCGTTCCCAGTGCGTCCTGAACACGCCTCAGAGACCGGCACTGCATTCACAGTGCGTCCTGAACACGGCTCACAGAGACCGGCACTGCATTTACAGGGTTCGGCTCACAAGCAACACTGGATTCCACGCGGGGCATCCGTAAGTCCATCACTCGCCAGTGTCTATCGGCAGCGTGCGCTCACACATGTCAGCTGACCTTCCTGTCACAAGAGAGGCAACCCAAGGTGGTTTGTGCACCATGCAAACACATGCAGAGGGCAGACTTACGGTGAACACGTCGTCATCGCCCAACTCAGCCTCATTCTGGATCGTCGAGGACGATGTTGTGGACCCTGGAAAGGCGGGAGGAAAGGGAAATGATGATGATGATGATGATGATGATGAGTATGATTATTCACTCTATTAAAGCTGTACCTTTACTAAAGGAAAAACTATCAACATGGTTTTAAAAACTGGAATGAACCCTGAAACAGGAAATTATGTTTTTGTTTTGGTTACCAGAGACAGCCGTAGAAAATATCGTATTTTATCCCTGCTGTGTTGCTAGGGCTGTTTTGGGGGGCTTTTTCACCCTGAACATGTTCTTTAGTCCCCCTACCCCCCTCCAAATAAACGCTGATTGATTGATAGATACTTTGACTAAGATTCTCTTTACGTCTCTCCAAACTTGCTCTCTTTAGGTGAGAGCACGCCGGCCACGGAAGGAGTTGGGGCTTAAGGGTCTTGTCCCAATAAATATACACTAGTTTGAATAGCATGTTCTCATTCATTCTCATGTTCACTAGTGACATTCCTATTTTACACCTTTACAGGAGACTGTCCTGGTGAGGTGTGCTTCCAGAGGGTGTACCCAGCTGATAACTGCACTTTGAACCAAACACCACGGAAGCATTGAGGTCCAAAGTGCGGAATGATGTCACGGACCTGATTCATCACCATCTCCCATGGAGCTGGGCTGCCTTTCCTAACACGTAAGCCAGACACAGGTCAAACAGCGGCCTTTGACCGCCAGAGCTACAGACATGTTCAGTCCAACAGGGGGCGACACTCACATTTTCCCCAACAAGCTGGATCATCCAAAAACAAGTGGACCAAATGAGATTGGGTCTCTACTGCCACAAAACACAATTAAATTATTTCTGGGGCCTGATCAAGGCGGTTAGGAACAGCGGGGTTTTCGGGATCATTAAAGCGCTCTTTTAATTAGCCACCGCGTGACAACACACCACAGTGTCACAGATGCCCGGCGTCGGCCCACTGTGACTCACACGAGCGCTCTGAACCGCAAAATGTTCACTTTTAAAATTAATTTCAACTGAAAAAATGGGTTAATACCTCTCAAAGGACTGCAAATGTACGCATCAGCAGCTCAAATAAATCTTGCTTTGTCATTGGGTAGCTAATTAATGCGGAATCAGTCGCAAGCTCAAGCGTGGGTGGACATTAGGGGGGGGTCAGAGATGGGCCCCAATTGCACCTCCTAACAAGGTGAACCCCTGACTGGGAAGTGCAAACACCCCATACCCCCCCCCCCATCCTTCATCTCTCGCATTGTGTTTGAAGGCCTTATGTTTTCACTTAGGGGGAGTCTTGATCATGGCGGGGCGTAGCAAGCCATGCCAAATGAGGACTGGGGGGGGGACAGTGTCATTGGCAGCAGACTAGGTCATGAGGGTCTGAAGAAAGGGGGCCGCATTGAAGCTTAAATCCACTAATGGCTCTAAGGTGACGAAACACATACTCACACATAACACACACATGGGGGGGGGGGGGGGGGGGGGGGGGGGGGG